TATAAGAGAATTGCTCACTAACCACGATGAGCGTATCGGAAAGGTCTAAATTACACCCCTAGTTGAACAATCTTCTTCTGAAATGTGCTTTTTTTAAGCTTCCCGAAATTTTGGTTGTGCGAATCGTGTTATACGTGAATGAATATGGAAGGAATCTTAACTCTAGATCCAATGTGTTTTTTTTCCAATGCATGATTTTCTTCAAAAATACACGTTTTATCCGGGGCAATTTGGCAACTCTCGAATGTCCATGTCGCAGGCAAATAGTGAAATCAGGCATTTTGTCAAATGCCTAGGCAGATAGTTAAATTTTGACGGTCTATATAATTTTTTGAATTTATGGCGAGGAGCTCGCGAGTTTTCAATATTTTTTGGAAAAATAACTCATCAAACCTACGAATTTTTCTTACTAAAATAATTGGTCACTCACAATTACGTCGGAAGGTGACGAAATGCAGTTGTCCTGTTTCCGATCGAACCCGTCCAAATTTGGGCAGCTTACAGGTACACGTCACCGGGACGCGATCAATCGCGTGAACACGGATGAATGAACCCCTCCAGGCCTCCACCCCCGCCGACCAACCCCTCGTGACGTCAGAGTTGACATCATCTACAACCCTCCCCCGCCCTAAACCGCCGTATGAATGACGCAGCTCGCTTCCGGGTCGCGAACACGGGTAGGCTTAAAGGAGCGCAAGAAAACAACGATCCCTCGGATCTGGATTACGAGAGGGATAACCAAGGGAAAACGCCGTATAGATGTCGCAGGCAAATAGTAAAATTTTGTCAAATTTTGTCTATTTTTTTCTTATTTTTTTGGAAATTTGTAAACGTAGCATGGCGCTTGTGATACTTTGGCCGGAAGGTGACGATTTTATGTTACCAGATGTTCTGTTGTATTTTATTTTTTTAACGGAGAGCTTAAATACGTGACGTATTCATATTTTGGTGTATTAACCGCACGTTACGAAGAATATACACTGAAAAAAGTAGGATAGTCATTACAACCAGCCGCTGGTTGTGAGATTTAATAGTGGAAACCTACGACAGCAGTGCTACAATGACAGCACTGCTTCATGGTCATGGAATGCCATGACCGTCAAAAGTTTCGGATGTCTTTTTCGATTTTTCCAAAAGTTCCAAGAGATTTCAGGATTTCTTTTTCAATTTTTCCAAAAGTTCCAAGAAAGTTCCAGATTTGTTTTTCGATTTTTCCAAAAGTTCCAAAAAAGTCTCAGAAAATAGACAAGATCCGGAACATTTCGGGTATTTCAAAAGTTCCGGGAAAAATTCAGGAGAATCTCAAAAGTTCCGAAACTCTGAACTAGTCCCTGGGAATGGGAGCACTGTATGAAAGAGTCATGGAATTCGCTAAAAAAGCATTGATTATTGAATGTATTTGTAGGACGGTCAAATCTTCCTTTTTTTTCTTGGAAAAATCTGAGGGGGGGGGGGGTCCTGAAAATTGCCATCAGTAGAGGAATTTTTTTGCATCATGGTCCTGAAGTCCTAATATCATAGGAATTTTTTTGTGTGGGGAATGCTGGATACCCTGCTGCGATTACAATCGATACAAGTTTGATGAAGACGAAGTTCAAAAGAGAAAATTGGTTTTATGTTTCAGGTTAATCACCGAAAACGGGAAACAGAGTGCATATTTCCAGTGCCGCAAATCCACACGAAGCTTAGAAAGCAAGACCACCAATTGTTTCAACCCCAACGAAGAGGTAAGACCGGACAGGCAAATCCCCAATTTTGCCTTAAATTTCCTAAAATCTTCAAAGTTCCTCGTATTTTTTCTGTGTTTCTTACTTCATCTTTTCTATATTTTTTTTTACAATTAAGCTTGATTTTCACGGTAAAATTTTTGGGCTGATCCAATCAGCATCAGTTTAACTGCATTTCTTATTCTCAATTGAATTGGTCATTCGCAAAAAGATTTAAGCACCAATAATGTAAATAAGAGAAACACAGTAAAATTTAACGACCCATTTTAAACCTTAGGATCATAAAACATGTGCATGTAGTTCATCGCTCCTCTGACGTAAGAGCGTATCTCGATTTTCTCGGGAGCCCTGTTCTCCGTATACCTCCATACACTGAAAAACAAATCTCGGTTTATTTACTAAGAAAAGGGTGAAATTACCAAGAATTCAGGGTTTTATTTGATCCCAGTTTTTTTCTTGGTAAAATTACCATTTATGGAATTGGTAATTTTACCCAGAAATCTCGGTAAAATTATCGAACTTTCTCGGTAATTTTACTGGACCTTGGTAAAGACGCAAATATTTTTTATCGACTGTGGTAGAATTACCGAGATAAAATGGCAAAGTTACCGGGAATTGATTACCAATAAAAGTGATATTCTTACCTGTAAAAAACAGTAAAAATACCGGTTTTTAGGTAAGCTCACCAGTCTGTCTTGGTAAAATTACCAATAATTGGTAAAAAAGTGAGATGGTAAAGGTACCAACGGACCTTGGTTTCACCGAGAATTTTTTTTCAGTATGAAAACTACACTCATAAACTTCCGAGACGGATTTTTACTCACTTTTTGTAAATGCATAAAACATTAGAGGAAATTAGGCAACATTTGATGTAATTACTCCGATACCACGTAGTAAACGCCGGTCATTTTGCCATGTTTCTTCGAATGTCCGTCGAACTACGCACTTTAATCAAACTAGTTTTAACCGAGTCAAATCTAATTCGTCGAACGTTTTGCCGCGATTTGTCGAATTTTCCTCGAACGTCGTTTTATTCGCGACTATTTTAATTAGGTCACTTTCTGCTCGTCAAACATTTCGTCGGGGATCGCCGAAAGTTCGTCCAACCGCACAGTTTCAGTGAACTAATTTTAACGTGATTCGCTCCGGGCCCTGGAAGTGATCGAACTGGTGTCGAATGTATCGCGTTTATTAAGTGGATCGGATTTAGCAAAGTGGAACAAGCGTAATTACAGTGTTCGCAAAATTTTGCCTCTTCTTCTTTTCATTTAAAAATGCCTAAAACAAGTACAGTATTAAAATTTACACAATTATTTTCATTTAAAATTAACAAAATTATGGTGGGAAGCAAAATCTATTTGCTATTGTGGGAAATTTCTCAGATGAATATGAAAAAGCAACATTTTAACAACACTGTAGTCCCGCTGGTTCCGGTTGTGATTAATTGGGCAAAAAAAAACAAAAAAAAACAAATACAACAAATAATTTTGAAAAATAATAACAAATTTTGGGAATTATTCGTCTAAAAAAAAAAAAAAAAAATGCAGTTTGGAGAGTCGAAAAATATAGCATCTGGTACAAAATTTAAATCTGTAAGCGAATGCCATTTTTCCTTCGTAGCCAATATCTAGTAGAAGTGAGTTTCATGTCTATCAATTTCAATAATCAATGGGACGAACCATCTAAATTACCATAAATCTTATTCATGGAACGAGTTACGTGAATTTTCGAGCTTCTGAATCCGGGATCGAGGCATTTTCATTGCTGTGAGTTTACAATTTCGCCGCGTTATTTTGCAGGGTCGAGAGCGAGAAATCACTGCGGAGGTTCACAGCGGCTCGACGCACGGTTCGGCGGCGACCATTCGGCGAACGAGCAACACAAGCGGGGGGTCCAGGGGCTCCATCCCCCCGACCCCTCACACCCCACACACCCCGCACGCCCCTTCAAAAGCCAGCTCGCGCAACCCGTCGCACAGGTAAGCCCGTCATTCACCCCCGTTCCCCCTTCCCCGGTCTCCGCTTGCCTCTATTCATGCAATTCTGAATCTTATTTGGACGTATCTCTGCCAAAGGGAAGTATGTGCATCATGACGTGAGCCCTGTTATGCATATATTGTTATGGGTCTCAGGGTTCATTTCTTAATGCACATAGTTCCCTTTGGCAGAAATACGTTCATTTTTCCCAACCTCAACCTGCCCAGACCAATACCATCACCTCCCGGCCAAAGTATCACAAGCGCCATGCGACGTTTTAAAATTCCCGCCGCCATTTTATTTTTTACGGAGAAATTGTTCAACAAAGCTGTTTGAAAATTTCACTGAATTATCTTTGTGCTGCCGATGAAATTCACTTAAATTTGCAAACAGATTCAACCAACAATTTCTCCATGTACAAAAATAATGGCGGCGGAAGTTTTGAAACGTTGCGTGGCGCTTGTGATACTTTGACCGGAAGGTGGCGAAATTCGTGACAGCTATATCGATGGCCCCAAGTGATTAACGCCTTATTCCTGAGAGCAGATTTGACAAAGAGGAGAGCAATTTCAGGGACTTTTTGCTCAAAATGAGTTCGGAATATCATCCTTAACAACGTTATCCAGCTCTCAACTGGATAGGCAAGTAATATGGACCAACATGTTCTTCCTTTTATGTTTTCAATTGAATTCTCTGTGCAAATTGAATAGAGGTACCTTAAATTAAGCATAGTTCAAACACAAGCTGTTATACTGATTGCAATAAGGTGGCAAACCACATAACTCCGCTTGCGACGTTGAAGACTTCTTGTCATACTTCATGGTTTTCTTGAAAGACTAGTCAATGTAATTGGTTATAGGACATTTCGTCGACGATTTTTTGTCCGCGCATCTCTTTTCCAGTAATTTACGTCCACGCGTCTTTTCGGCACGGGAGTTTTGGTCCACATGCCAGTTGGACTGTATTTTGCAATTTGGACCTATAAATTCTGGCTCATCCGAAAAAACACTTATGTGCATAGGGAAACTAATGGCACATACGTTGTTTTTAAACCGGGCCCGAATTTATAGGTCCAAATTGCAAAATGCAGTCCAGTTGAGACCCAAAGTTAATTGGCCCACATGCAAATACAAACGACCATTGCTCATTACGTTTTTGGATGAGAATGTATAATGTCTTGGAAGAATGAGGGTTTGCTTGTTTTTTTGTGTTGTCTGTTTGGTCCAGCGGAGAATAATATATAGTTGAGAGTTTTGATAAAAATGGGGGAGAGTCAATTCCATGAGACAAAATTCACAAAAACTCTCTACACCTCTTTGGTGTAACAGGACTTAATTATCTTTCAAGAAATTCCCACCTTGTTATACCTGAACCGGATGAACCTCTATATTTGCCTCAGCTAAATGCTCTTAGATTTTTCCTGTGTACGATAAGTATCTTGATTTATTTTGCGAGGAAAGATCTGTACTTTTAAAGGATGCCTGTCATTCTTAATATGTTCAATTTCATATAGTAGTGTGCAGCACCTCTGTTGTGAAACACTTGCTTCAGGCGCCGCCGCAGGCCGCACGGCGGGCGGGCGGCCAACGCGAGAGGTTCATTGGCGCCTACAAACCTAAGTGGATACTTCAAGCATTGTGCAATGCGTGAAGTATCCACTTAGGTTTGTAGGCGCCAATGAATCTCTCGCGCTGGCAGCACGCCGCGCGCCGCTCCGCTCTGTTAGACTTTAATATTTATATTCGCATAGTCAGCGTTTTTTAACTCATGATTTTGAAATGTTTGCACACTCTGCATTGATTGTTCTCATTTAAATTGATGGGAAAAAATATGTATCAATTTATCAAAGGAGAATAGTAATATAATGTGTGTTTTTTAAATATTGGTGGTTTCGTGTCAAATTTAATGATTTCCATAGCACTTTAATTTTTTCTTATACATTTTGGGCTTATATTATGCTGCAGCGAGGTGTACGCGCAACCAAACGATCAAAATTTGACGTATTTGACTCTAAAAGATCTATGTGCAAATGGGTTAAAACTAAAGATTGCGTGCTTCTTGGTTTTTTCTCCTCTTTTATTCATTTTTACAGTTTTTGTCGGCACAACTGCGGCTCATTGAGATTAATGTCGCTCGGAAAAGGTCCCACAAATATTTGCCACATTTTAAAAATATAAATGTTTTCAAAATGAAGTAATAATTTCGTAAAGAAAAAATTAAAAAAATAAAAAAAGTGCCTATACATATATAAGGTATATTGTACATCGAATATTTTAAGGATAGAAATAAAACCAAATATTCACTAAATATTCAATATGAAACCATTCATCATCTATTTGCAGAGAGAACTGGAGTGGGTCAGAGGAGGAGGCTGCTCCCGGTGGGATAAGTCCGACCTACAGGATTCCCAGCATAGACTGGACGCACCTGGAAACGAGTCTGGATTTCTGGAGACAGGAACACTCCAAAACAGTGGCGCGCTCAAGAGAGGAAGACTCAAGCTGCAAAGTCCGCTATAATGATACCGGAAGTCTTGAAGAGGTAAGTGTGGCATAATCTTATCGGAGAAAACTTGCATTTGATAGATAATCTCTATGTATGTCGCGGGCAATTCTTGATCAGTTTGGCTCTGACTTTTCTTAAAATGTTTCTCATTCAGGCGTGGAATAATTTACAATAAGTCTAGGCAGCATGTAAATTGTCGCATTCGGGTCATTTGCTTTCAACCTCGCATATACAATTGAACCACATTTTGAAATTCGGAACTACAATTTCTGCTCATCCGGTATTACACTTATTTGCATAGGGAAACTAATAGTGCATACGGTGTTTCTAAATTGAGACAGAAATTGTAGTTCCGACTAGCAAAAGAAGTCCAATTTCAGTGCCTCAGTGTTTGCATTGCCATATTTAAATGAGCTTTTTTTCTTTTTTCGCGAGAAGCCAGAGAATAGCCAAGGAATTTTAGCGCTAGCGGTCAGGGAATTTTTCCGAAGAGTCAGAGAAAATCAGTTGAGTTTGAAATTTGATTATACCTTTAACCGTAAATTGGGGTACTTTTTGACACTAGGAACTATGAATTCTAGCTCAGTTTAGAAACAACGTATGTACGATTAACTTCCCCGTTCAGATGAGTGTTCTTGCGGATGAGCCAGAAATTGTAGTTCCCATTGCAAAATGGACGTCGTATTTAGCAGAAAGGAACCAAGGCCCATCAGCTATTGCCAAATTTAATTGAGCAATTTAATTTTTCAAATGAAAACAGTTGTGCAGATTTGTATGTAGATTTCAGTGAATTTCCTACAAACAACGTAGCAAATTCCTTTAAACTTTCAAAGGAATGCGCACAAACGTTCTCTTGCAAAAAATTAAATTGTCCTGTTAAAGGCAGTAGCTGATGTGGCTTGGCTCCTTTCTGCTAAAAGCGGTCCAAATGTAGCACGATTAGAAATGCTTAAGATCATACGACTTTTGAATACATTCTTGATGGGGAAAAAAAACAGGTTTTCACCGGTGTATTTCTTGCCATTTTTCACAGGTGAACGTGGAGCACCTAGTAGACTACTACGAGGACGAAGTAGTCAACCTGCCGACGGATCCTCCAATCACAATCAACTGTGACAACATGAGGGTAAGTTGAACACCATCTCATGCGTGAAAACCTGCAAATATCAATTTTGAAAATTATTGCCATTAAACTTTCCGTAAGTTGCAATATTTGGCAACGCTACTTCACAGTGTATTTAAATGTCGAGGCCTTAATGATCAACACAATTGCACAAGTAACGTACATATCCCTTGCCTTCTGGGCTCAAATAGTATAATGGCTAGACCAGAGCCGCCAGGTACAGGCGTTGAGATCACGATAGTCGAAACGCCTTCAATTTTGTGCATGCGACACGCACATCCTCAAAGCGCGAATAGTTGCATGCAGACCTTACCATTGAATCAGATGGAGCGCCTTAAATTATTTTACCTAGATCATGAACAACAACCGACCGACGGATCCTCCAATCACACATCAACTGTGACAACATGAGGGTAAGTTGAACACCATTTCATGCGTGAAAACCTATGCATAATGTTTTTAGAGACAATTTTCGGTGAGAACGACTCCACACAATTTTCGCGTATACGCACATTGATTCCGATAAATTGCACCGGTATTTCTACAAATTGCACATTTATTTTGGCAAGATTGCAGTATGCAAAAATTACGATGGTAAGAAATAATATGGTCCGACGTCTACATTTTTCCGAAAAAATAAAAGAGGAAATTTTAAAGACGGTGAAACAAAGATTTAACATAACCAAAAACGCAACTACTGCAAAAACGTACTTTTATTTTAAATACAAGATTATTTTGATTTTTCTATCATTATTTTTCAATTTTTTTTTTTTTTTTTTTTAGTGCGTTGATTGCCACGCTGTGGCGTGTGCCTTCGGCAACGCAACTCGCTTTTCTTCACTTTCCCTAGTTTTCATATATTTTCCATCTGATCATTAGTGTTGGCTGGATTTCGTCCATTTTTCAATTTTAACCTCAATTGCTAGTCTATCATCCAGCCACTACCCATAAAACTAATGACTAGACTAGCAACTGAGCTTTACGGATTACAGCCAGCCAATCACGTGTGGGCTTGGTGTCTCACCACCTGCGGCGTCAGCAAGGTTATATGGGTTGGCTGTTTCTCATGATCTAGGTAAAATAATTTAAGGCGCTCCATCTGATTCAATGGTAAGGTCTGCATGCAACTATTCGCGCTTTTAGGATGTGCGTGTCGCATGCACAAAATTGAAGGCGTTTCGACTGTCGTGATCTCAACGCCTGTACCTGGCGGCTCTGGTCTGGCCATTATTTAGCCCAAAAGGCAAGGGATATGTATGTTACTTGTGCAATTGTGTTGATCATTAAGGCCTCGACATTCAAATACATTGTGAAGTAGCGTTGCCAAATATTGCAACTTGCGGAAAGTTTAATGGCAATAATTTTCAAAATTGATATTTGAAATGATTGTGCGGAAATGTTTCCGGTGGAAATTCTCTTAGAAACTTTATGCAACCTTGAGGACTAATTACATTCGAGTGTCAGTCTAACTACATGAGATGTTGCCTACTTTTGCTGCGCAAGAATTATGGCTTTTAATTTTCTGAGTGCTATACCTTTAACTTAGAATGTATTCGCAAAACATTTCAGGCCGATTTCTTATGTATGTTTGTGTTTTAAATAATAAAACATTAGTTAATGAAAAATAGGCTAGTTAAAAGTAATTGACTGATGATTGATCGAATGAATTGATTGTTTGGCTTTAGATATGTTTTCCATAAGGTAATACTTTTCAGAATTTTTGCCAAAATCTGGAAACAGGCCAGGTGCTGACAAGTGTTTTAGAAATAAAAAAATGACCATTTTCAATGAGTGGGATGTTTTTTATTTCTGTTACAGCATCAGTACAAGAAATTGTGGCAACTTCGAGCCACCCTGGAGGAAGACGAAGGGAAGACAGAAGCTGAAATCTCAGCCACACCGCAATCCCATTCTTCAGCCGACCAATCGCCAGGTATTTTGCACATTTTTTGATCAATTTCATTTCATCTCTTGTTACCGCCTATTCACGTTGTTTGTCGATCAATTCACGGTTTATTACGGTTACGATCGATTTACGGATTGATTCGCGAGTTTATTGATTTACGATTGTCGATCGAATCAGTGTCGACGGCAGCACTGTCGATCGATTCACGTTTTTCTTTTCCGGTTAGTTCATGTCGATCGAATCGACACCGGTCTTTCAATTCCATCGATCGGTTCACGTTTTTGTTTTTTGACCTATCAATGTCGATCGAATCGCCACCGGTTTGTTTCATGATCAACTATCGCTCGAATCGCTGTAGATCAGCTCAGATTTTTCAATCAATGCGTATCCCGAGCATAATCTCTAGTGGGCTGGTTATAGAAATTAACAGACAAAGTGATAGACAAAGAGGATTATTTAGAGATGTTTCTGATAGAAGCGGGTGGTTCCAATGGACAAAGGTGGTAAGTTACAGATTAATTAACGGCAACCCAAGAGAAACCGCTCAGTTAGTTCAGTTATTTAATGTTAAGCACCCGTTTAAAACAAAAGGATCGCTCAATTTTTCCTTTGTCTATTAAGTCCTATAATCCGCCCGCAGCTCCGACCGCCGCACAGTGGATCGAGTCAACAGGAGAGGTCGAACATAATTTGGAAACTTTAAACGCTTATAACTCCGTTTATACCAAAATTTGAGGTTCTAAAAATGGTACCATTGGTTTCCTCGTGATATTTTCAACTAGAAACACCTCTCAAAGTTCAAAATGTGACGAAATAAACATCAAAATTTGCAATTTTAGTCAACAATTTTATGTCCGACTTCTCAGATTGACTCGATCCGTTGTTGTGCGCCGAGATTCTCCAATAACGAGTATGATTTCATAGCCTCTGAAAGACAAGTTTTATTTAATTCCAACTTTATGTTTGACCTTTAGGGTCGCCACAATATTCAAAAGCCGGAAAGAGGCACTTGTGGTCATATGAGAATAATGGTCTCGATGCAAACCCCCTCCCCCTTCTCCCTCCTCCTCCTCCCCGCAGAATGGACGGATGGATTTTTCGCGCTCCACTTTTCAACTCTTCAACCTCTAACGAGCTTTTAATTGAATCGCACGCGGCGCATAGAATGCCACGCAAGTTAATCAGGCTGAATTATTGTTGCCATGTTGCATTCAGAAATGCAAGCATTCTGAGCCGCTCTGAGAAAAAATACTTAAAAATGAGATGAGGCTTCATGCGTTTTAGAATTCACATTTTAATTTTATCTAATGGTCAATTCCAAAGAGTACAAGGATTTCTCGCCTTGGGACTAAATAAAAAATTGATTAAAATTTCAAATAGTTTCTTCTTCCCTCTCTTTCTCAAAGCTGCGTTTCCAAGTGTGAACTTCAAACTGTCCTGATTCCGGTTCAATACGGATATTTGATACTCCCCCGTAGAGGAGATCTTATTTGCCATCGTGAAAGAGGACTTTAACTACAGCAAATGGACTTCATTTTGCAATTATGAACTATAATTTTTTTATTATTTATTTGTCACATAATGAGTACAAAGAATCACATTCTTTTGAAAAAGAAGAAATAAGGAAAAGTTACGGACAATAAAAATGACAAATAAAAGCTCGATAGAAAATCGGTACGAGCTGAAGGTTTTTAAGGGCACAGAAAACATCCTTCACTAAAGGAGATTTAAGACGCATTGGTGGCGCCGGAAATTGCCTGTTGGCATCCATCGGCTATGAACTATAATTCAAGTGCTGGGTGCAAAAAAGGGATTTCTTTGGTTGCAGTGTCTAAGAATCTCCGCTGACGGTTCATCCATTCAATGAAAGCAAATGAATTGAATTCCATGAAAATTTTACCGAATTTTCTTAATGACTTTAAAATGATGAAAACGAATACTTTCAGAAAATTCACCGCATAGTTTTCTCTCCAAAATATAAATTAGCAGTGAAGATTTTGAGACAACGCAGCTAAGTGATGCTCTTCCTGCACCCAACGCCTCAATTTTTGGCTCACTTAGAAACAACGTATATGCCGTTACGAGTTTCCATGTGCAGATAAGTGCTTTCACGAATGAGTCAGTTATTGTAGTTCCTAATTGCAAAATGAAGTTCAAATGTAGTGGGTGCTACGAGTGACACGATCTAGGGGGAGGAAGTCTATTGAGACCGCCTCCATTGTCGGTAACTTTCCTAATGTGGGTGTCAGGGGCACCGCACGTGCCTTCATTACCCTAGTCACCATCCTTGTAGCAAAGGGCTCGACTGAAACTTTCTTAATGGTGACTTTACTCGGTGATGAGGTTTGAAAATGACTTCAGTTTGAACGTTCGGCGTTGGACATAGCTTTTACGAAGGACTAACGGACTACAAAAAGGAACAAGCTCAGACGAAACTGTGCGCAACCCAACGGGCCGATTATTGAAACTGATAGACGAAGCTATAGACAAAGACGACAAAAAGAATTTGGAGGGTCCTATTGGTAGAAGCAGGTGGTGGCAATAGACATAGGAGGTAGGTAATGGACTAACTAACGGCAACCTACTAAAGACCCGACAGTTAGTCCATCATTTTCTTCCTTAGTCTATAAGAACCAGTCATGTCAACCAATAAGATCGCTCCATACTCCCTATGTCTTCTTTGTCTATCGCTTTGTCCATCAGTTTCAATAATCACCCCACTGATACCTCGCACAGTGGAACGAGCTAATGGAAGAGGCCGGACACGGAATTTATGGCTAAAATGTCAAATTTTTATGTTTATTTCGTCACAAATGCAATTTCAAGGGGTGTTCCAGAAAGAAAATTTTACGAAAACATCAATAGAACCACTCTTAAACTTATTTGTTCCATATTTTCGAAAATACAAGCTTTCGAAGTTTCCAGATTATATCCGACTTCTCCTATTGACTCGACCCATTGTGCGTCGGAAAAAGGAGAGTAAAGTAGAGTAGGAATTATCCTTTATTTTTATCCTTTCGGGTTTATGAAGTTGCAAAGATACAATCTTAAGTCACATGTATCTACATCAATATCATTCGGTGATTACAATTTTAAATATTACGTAAATTTAAAAGTCTAAAAATTACTAAAATGTTTCACGGTAGATTGAATATCGACGGTGAAACTACCGGAGCACGTATCTCGTTTGCGGTGTTTAAAAATTTCTGCTCCCGTTTGATCTTTTTGAAAAAGAACACATCAATATCATTCCGTGAAGTTTTCACAAAGTTTTCCTCACACTGGAAAGAAAAATCACGGAAGTTTTCCAAAATTGACGATAAATAGTTTTCAATTTAAAAAATAAAGTATGACAGGGAGTCAACAGCGTCGCAAAACGAGATACTTTAAAATGATATTTAAAAACGGATGAACTCATTGCTAAAAATTACTGAAAGCGTATTTTCATTGCAGCAGATAAAAATAGAAACAGAGACGTTCTGTATTCTCTTATCGTAATTTTTCTACGATCTGAAGAACGTCGGGAAGAGTCACGGAATAGTCGCGGAACCTGGATTCTTTTTCCTCCAGCCAAAACATTGCATTCCTCTACTTCCAAGGTAGATAATTCGGGAGTAGAACTCTTCGCGGTCAGAATTTTCAGAAACGATACCAAAAAACACTGTAAAAAGCTTTATGATCAGGGAGAAGCGAAGGACTTTTATTTGCAAAACATCTGAGAAGGCAGGAAATTTATAAGCCCGTATCAGAATCAGACGATCAAAGTGGAGGCTTCAAAGAGACTCATCGATTGCCGCGACTTAAACCGCTGGCCACCGAGAGGGTCAGGAAAGGCATCGGTGAAATTCTTTGGAGCCTCTAGCTTTATCGTCTGATATACGGGCTTCACTGAAAAAAAAGTAGCTTGGATCAAGCATGATAATTCTTGAATTTGCCGCCAAGAATTTTTTTTTCCTTGCTTTAAGCTGACTTTTTCTTGATACAAGAAAAATAATGCTTGGGTTAAGCAAGAAAGTAGCTTATATTAACCAGAAAAATTCTTGATTTAAGAAGAAATACTTCTTGGCGGCAAATTTAAGATTCTTTTTTTTTCCAGTGTTTAAGGCCACGTTTGCGATGATCACAATAGGTCGAGATTCCGTTTGTTTTTGCCAATAATTATTTCACACATTGCACTATTTGGCAACGCTGTCGCACATGGAAGATAGTAAGTAATGAATAGGATGCGATTTTTCAATTTTTTCAGATAGATTAAATGAGAAGATTCAGAAGGAAGGAAAGCGTGTCATTGCCGATAGAGTCAGGCGCGTGATTGCCGCGTGAACTATAGCCGCCATTTTACTTTTATTACGTATAATGATTGAACTACCTATTTCTTTGCTCAACACGACTTGATTAAATCCTCACACCGGGCCTATACTCTTGCAACGACGACATCCGATTGCAACGAACGACACGTTTCGTCGACCCGGCGACCACGCGCGGACCGTTCCATCACGGTGGTGCAGCGCCCGGGCCCGCCCCCCCCCCTCCTCCCCATTCCTACCAAAA